GTGACAATGTTATCGTTACAGATAATAGAATTAACTGACACTGAAGCAGGTGTATATTGACCATAATTGGCTTCATTGGAGGAAAAGTGTGATGATTAATTGCAATCGGACAGGGTGAATATTAAACTGACACGCCGGTATTTGGCCACACAGACAATCTTGATTCTCATCGCCAGTTCCACTTCTAAATTTTAAGGATATTATCCATTACGAAGCTGTTCTTTTTCACCACACAATAAATAAAGCCATTAAGAAAGTGGTCTAAAGCAACAGATGTTATATTTGGGATAACACTTTCTCAGTAAAGTACAGATTCTCGTACTTTGAAGGGGCGGTCGGGTAGCCTAGTGGTTAAAGCGTAGGCTCGTCACGCCGAAGAACCGGGTTCGATTCCCGACACGGGTACAATGTGTGCCCAATTCTGGTGTCCCCCGTCGTGATATTGCTGGAATATTGCTAAAAGTGGCGTAAAACCATACTCACTCACTCTCGTACTTTGAGGGAGTGAGTACCGTCCGGGATTCGAACCCACACTGCCAGAGTGAGGCACCTAATCGCCAGCACACAAAGTCAGCGATCTTTACCACTCAGCCACCGAGGCTTCCACATAAAATGAAAGTCCGACAACTGGTAGTCTAGATCACGTACTTTGTGTACCCCTCTGACACGAAAAATTGGCACGGCTCCCATGGCCGAAAGCTATGAACACACAATGCCATTTAGAAAGTGGTCAAATGTAACAGATATTATATTTGGGATAACAATTTCTCAGTAAAATACTCAACCCCCCAAAAAGATGAGTGAGTGAGTTGGGTTTTACACCGCTTTTAACAGTATTCAAGTTATATCACGGCGTGTCAGCTTAATGTGGGAGGAAAGCCCGAAGTGATGCAGGTCTCAGACGTTTACCACTTCGGTGAAACCCACGAGCACGGGTATGGTGCTGACAAACCTAGAAACATAATCGGGGCGAACCGGGATTCGAACCCACCATCATAGGTTTCTGGCGTGCCCAACGGACGCAACTCTGCACAGCGAATCGCGGCGCCTTAGACGACTGGGCCACCCGTACCCCCTCCCAAAAAGATGAAGGACCACACGATTCTTTCATATTACTATTTTTAGTCTGCCATGGAATCGTGTGTTCTTTAACTTCTTTTCAGTATGGCATGACAGATAAACTATAGTAATATTTTTTTTTAAATGACTATGTTTGTTCCTTAACTTCTTTTGTGTAGTATATGTCTTCGTTTTCTTTTTGTACAACTTCAGGGTGGCCCAGTCGTCTAAGGCGCCGCGATTCGCTGTGCAGAGTTGCGTCCCTTGGGCACACCAGAAACCTATGACTGTTGGTTCGAATCTCGGTTCGCCCCGATTATGTTTCAAGGTTTGTCAGCACCATCCCCGTGCTCGAGGGTTTCACCGAAGTGGTAAACGTCTGAGACCTGCATCACTTCGGGATTTCCTCCCACATTAAGCTGACACGCCGTGATATAACTGTAATACTGTTAAAAGCGACGTTAAACCCAACTCACTCACTTTTGTACAATTTCAATTCGTTCCCATTAAAATGGGATATTTGTGTCTTGAGATAGTGTTTCGTGTGCGAAATACGCTACAGTCGGAAAGCGCACGTTAAATCTTCTATATCAGTCAGTCAGTCAGTCTTGAGATCTGACAATAAGATCTGATTTTAATGAAATTGGTTTACTGTGGACTAATATTAAGTTGTAGAATCGAAATATAAAAATAGGATAAAAACTGTACCTACCATTTAAAAAAAGGCGATGAGAAACTTTATCTTTGGTGATCTCATAAGGAAGGGGGAATATAAAACAACATTTGCTTTGTCATATCTCTGAATTTCGATTAACACCACGTGCCGAGGAAATTTATATGATATTTTGGGCAAATACATTCATATACAGTTTACAATGTTTCCGATATATTTAGACAATTTGTATTATATTATGTGAATAATTATTTCCTGTTATGATTTCCGTGTAAATAATTCAGTATTGTGACATTGTGTATTATATCTAAGGTTCATATATGAAGTTATCAGCCGGAACTCTTCTTTAGCTCATGTCTGTATAAGCGGAATATTACAGGATGGTAAAATAATGAGTCATATCAAAGTGAGCGAGTTGGTTATATGGGTATCATAGTCGGGTATATTACACAGAGCTGTGTCTTCTCATCCATCCATTATTTATCTGAGTGAGTGAGTGAGTGAGTATGGTTTTACGCCGCTTTTAGCAATATTCCAGCAATATCACGGCGGGGGACACCAGAAATGGGCTTCACACATTGTACCCATGTCGGGAATCGAACCCGGGTCTTCGGCGTGACAAGCGAACGCTTTAACCACTAGGCTACCCGACCGCCCCCATTATTTATCTGACGTCACATGGTCCTGGGCCCACTTCCACAAAGCGATCTTAGCACTAAGATGATCGTAACTCCCATACTTTAACATAGTCTTACAATAGTCTTAGCGCTAAGATCGCTTTGTGCAAGTGGGCCCAGTTGTTTAAGACGCCGCAATTCTCTGAGTAGAGTTACGTCCCTTAGGCTTGCAAGCCTGTGATATTGGGTTCGAATCCTGTTTGGGCCTGGTTATGTTGCTAGGTTTGTCAGCACTGTACCCGGGCTCCTGGGTTTAACCAAAGTGGTAAACGTCTGAAATCTGCATGACTTCGGGATTCCCTCCCACATCAAGCTGACACACCGCGACTGTTTAGAGCGGCATAAAACAAAACTCACTCACCATTCCGTTATGATAAATACATTCTGTGCGCATTCGCTTCCATGTGGATGGTGACGCACGCTTCGGTGGCGAATAATTCCAGCATATTTCTCAAACTGGAATGGAGATACAATGCACTGCATACGCTGGTTTCGGTTGTGAGTGAAGTGTGTAGGCAGATAAAAGACAGTCAAATCCCGTTAATCCGACATCGATGGTTGCATATGATTATGTCGGATTAACGAAATTAAGTAGTATCAACGTTCATGATCGAAAATCGGACAACTACACGATAGATAAAGATTCAAACACGTAATAAAAAATATAAAATAAATATTCATATTGTTATGTTACATTGTTGGCGGAATATGTTTTCTAATCTTGCAACCTCTAAGGTTTAACACAAAACAACTGTTACGGAATGTGTGACTTGTTCAAAATACTTTAAAAAGCATAGTACGTATTTACCACTGACGCCGAGACACATAAATAACCACATAAATTGACTCTTATTTTCAAAATAAAGAATATATATTAAAAAAATGTATTCTAAAAGTCCTGCTCGTGTAATAGGTTGCATGTCATCCCTCTGTGTTCACAGTTTGGGGCAGCGTTTCGCTGTACAGAGTTGCTGCCCTTGGGCGTGTCCGGATTCGGTTCGAATCCCAGATTCGCCCTGATTGTAATGATAGAAATATACCAGCAATATCCCAGCGGGGACACCAGAACTAGACTTCACACATTGTTCCAATTTGAAGAATCGAAACCGGCCTTTGACGGGACCAGCCAACGCTTTGACCACTTGGCTACCCAGCGCCCCACGTGATATATACGATGTCTTAAATGGAAGTGATACCTTGGGGTTTTGAGATAATGTATTTGGAAAATAAATAAATAAAATGACGTAGACATAAGTAAATGAATAAATAAATAAATAAATAGATAAATAAATAAAATGACGTAGATGTGACAGAAAACGTCATTAAGTCAATACACACACAGACATGCATGGCTGCCCATGGTATTCCAGGTTAGAGTGGGTCCCCTGCAACCTGTGCTGGTATAGTATATGAGGCGACCAAAAAACTGGTGACTTGCTTGATAATCGCACCCCGACGGCATGATTCGCTGCTCACAATGTCTTTCACTGGACTGTCTGTCAGACAGCGGGAGCATTTGCTGAATGCGGCGTTAACAACAAACAAACAAACAAACAATCAAACATAGACATGTCAGTCTGACCAGTCACGTATTTAGGACCGCTTTAATATTATCTTGGTGTGACGAAATGCCCAATTTAAGGATATGGACTTTTGTCTTTGTCGTTATTTGTTTATTGTATTAAAGGTTTACGGATTAAAAAGTCTTTATTTTAAACCTGTGTAAATACGCGACCATTTTAATTATTTGAAGCACCGCCGAAGAGCGTCTGAAAAGGAAATACGTCTAAGCGCTTCAGAATTATGTTCAAGTGAACGTTTTATTTAAGTACAACATCTAAGCTGCATGCAGACTCGTTGTTTTACGCCGCTGTCATCAATATTCCAGTCATATGACGACATTCTGTACCAAACCAGTGATTTATAGCATGAGCAACGTCCCATAGCGGTAAACGATGACGCGCACTCAGCCAGGCCACAGAGACTGGCGACCTGACTGACCATGAGTACATTCGATTATCAATTATTTTTTGTTTCCGTTTTATCCTGATAAATATACAACAGAATGGAAATGTTAACCCACTGGATAATAGGGGGTGGGTTTCAAGCAACATTCTTGGCGCCGGAATATACTTTGCGGAGTTGCGTACCTTAGTCGTGCCAGAATCCTATGATACTAGTATCGGATCCAGCTTCGCCCTGGTTACGATGATAGCCTAGTGGTTAAAGCGTTCGCTCGTCACACCGAAGACCCGGTTCGATTCCCTACATAGGGACAAAGTGCGAAGCCCATTTCTGGTGTCCAACGCCGTGATATATTGCTAAAAGCGGCGTAAAACCATACTCACTCATGTGCCCCCGTGACAACAGTATCGTGACACAGCAGCTACATCCCGTTCGGTGTGTCACAGCATTTCAGGGAAATATCTATATTAGATCATACACTATATATACGTCTCGGATAGGCATATCCTTGTATCAGGATAACCGGAAAGCGATTTGTCACAGTCATTGACAAAATAGGACTGGGGCACGCCCCGCTGACCAGATATTTACATCCAGGGCTGATTAAACCATCTCACAAATAACTACAGCAATCCGTGTAATTAAAATAGTTTGTCTCAAGCGCGAACAAATACACTCAGAGGGCTGTTTTTGTCTATTTCGCTGCCAAGACAACAAACCCCTCGCTGATAAACAACAGCCGAAATTCAAACAGGATTGTCCAGCGAAGTACCTGTCCAATCCGAGCCTCATCACTACCCAGTGTCACTCCGCGTGACGACTTAGCACCTGGGATTTTCCCAAACTGCATTTCTCAATCTGTTTTAATCCTTCTTGCCTGTCAATCAGTGATCATTAACAGTCTAACTGGACTTGGGAGCGAAGCGGACTGTTAATTACCTGAGGGTGATCGCGATTTACCTGGGATATCCCTCCGCCAACAGAGGTCACGGACAGGTGTGCAACGGTGGTGTGCAACAAGGAAGAGAGTCGTATGCGGCGTTTCGAAAGTTAAATATTCGTGATATTGCCGTGACATATGCCGAAATGGCGTCTTGGATATGTTTAAGTGTTTGCATAATTACAGCGTTCGTTTTGGAACCAGGTAAGTCATCACCTGTCATACTAGAGCATTATACACCTGTAGTTGTATCGAGGATTGCGGACATTTTGAAATAGCTGTGTGACACTAGATACCAACAGGACGTTGGGTTTGAATGCTGTGGGTAATGGCTTCGCGTGGTACGCGCGTTTATCGTTCCGTGTTCATGCTTAATGCGATAACGTGTGTGAAAACTGTGTTAAAACGGGAATATACGATACTTACAGCATACTGACACATGTAAAATAATATTAGTATATAATGTTGTTTGTTGTGTTGTGAAAACGATGTTGTAAGAGAAGGTTACTATTTGAGCAAGTGAGATCAACTTGTGACCTGTCTGATTGTCAAATGTAGTACAACACGCCAGTCTATGTATTTTTAGTCATCGGGGTAATGCCATATCACGAAACGACATTTTTTGTGGGATTTCGTTTGAGAAACATTTCGAATTGTGGGTAGCGACATCGTTTTGGGAAAATAAAACACACACCTGGGGATTCCGTGTCAAAATAGGCTCGCGTTGAGTGCTGCATACAATATATAGTCATGAATCCGAAGATCCAATGAAAATAATGAAAGTGTTTGTACTTATCTAAGTCAAACGTTTGACAAGTTTGTCAGCCATACTAAGCAGAGATATAAATACAGATATGTATTCAAATGAGTACAGTTATATCAGTTATATGTTATTGCATTTAATCAGCAGTAGAAACTAACATTTTTATTCCGCTAGTCCTTATAATAATAAGATATAGCAAAACCCTTAAAAAGGGAAAATTTCTACTAGTCCTTATGATACCTTAACTATTGGGCAGTTTGGCAAGGGGTGCAGGCTAAAACGGCACCTCAGCAAAACGTCACGATTTCTCTGGCGAAAACGGCACCGCATTTGGCGAAAACGGCTACTATGTGTCGGGCGAAAACAGCATCTCTATTTTTATTAATGATAAGAACGATTTTTGTAGTAATATATATGGTTTCTTTACATGGTCACAGTTATCACAGCATGTTGTTGTTTTCTGACATTCTTCTCTCATGCAACACATCGAAAGGCCATTGTGAATAATTTGGATCTGACAGCACCATGTTAGGCCTCTTAAATACAGTTTCAGCTCAAATTGAGTAAAGGTGCTTAACACTTCAAAGCGTATAGTGTTTTCACATTAAGTTAACTGCGCCTCACAATCAGTCGGCGAGTAAATTGGAGTAGGGGTCTAATTTCTTACTTGTTTTATTTCACAATTATTTTTGTTTGTAAGAGGCGACGTGAGCTTAATTTCTATTATTTTTCTTCAAAGCATGTCATGTTTTCACAATAAGTTGTGTTGCATATAAGCTTAGTACAATTATAGTCAGAGTAGAGGCTAATTTTTTAATGTAAACTTGTTTTAGCATCTCACAATTATTGGTGTTTGCAAGTTACCATATAAGTTCAATAGCACCTATTTGACCAAGGTAAAAAAAAAAAAAGGTGCCATTTTCGCCAGGCAATAGTTGCCGTTTTCGCTTGAGTCGAGGTGCCGTTTTTGCCAATTGGTGTCGTTTTCGCTACAACCCTTGTCAAGGACTTCTGGACTAGTGCCAATGTCTAACACTGATTTAATGCAATTACAAAAACAATGTTAAAAATAGGCCCATCTCTGAATGTAAGAAAATAAAAATATTATTCATGTTAATAATCCCAATTTCAAACAAAATAGGGGCGGTTGGGTAGCAAGCCTAGTGGCTAAAGCATTCGCTCGTCACATCGAAGACCTGGGAAGCCCATTTCTGGTGTCCCCCGTCGTGATAATTGCTGGAATATTCCTAAAAGCAGCGTAAAACCATGCTCACTCACTCAAACAAAAATAACATATTTTTTTCAATTTGTCTGCCACCCGGCCACAGGCTCTCTGTTTAGAATCCTGGATAAATCCCAAGTATGCCCGATCTGGTTTGTCAGGGCCAGATTTTGAGGCGCACCATTTTCAGGTTAAGGGGAATGGACTTGATGCTTCATAACCATAGTACCTCGGGGGGGGGGGGGGGGGGGGGGGGGGGGTCATGGATTGGAAACTCTGTTGTCGATGTTTGTAGATTCTGCAACCAATTGTGGAAATATACACACATGCACTTTCAGTAAGCAATAATAAAAAAGTCAACTGTTACAAAAGGGAATAAATGTCTGTTTGCATGTTTAAAACCAGCTTTCGACCCACATGTTAATATTCTGCAGTGTATTTGACGAATTCTGTGGCAGATAAATGCAGTATGGTATTTTCTGCAAGATAGGTACATTTCTCTACTGAAGGGTATTTCTGCAAAATATTCCCTGACTGGAATACAGTGGGGACTATGTCATATCATGTATATAGACGTACTTGTTACAGACATTTCAAGCATTCTTATGTCAGAAGTAATGTTTCAATAATTTGTGTCTTGAGCATTGTTTTGCATTTCAATGGAAAGACTATCACAACACTCTTGTCAAAACCCTGTTCAATAGTACTAGAACCTGAACTTTATCACCATCCAGGTATTGTCCAGATATTTATGAAATTTGTTAGCTTAACTGTGGATAGAAAGTTATTATCACACATGCACTGCCAAAAAACATAGAAACGGGCTCCGTCTGTCTGTCACGTTTCGTTTCTGGAGCATAACTCAGAAACTGTTCAATATTTTTTCATCAAACTTTGCAGGTCTGTCAAGTACATGCTGAACTGGTGCCTTTTGCTATTGAGAAATTTTAGAAATTTTTATTTTTTACGTTTCCATGGCAACAAGATTGACTTGGGTTCTGTGAGGGTAGGGTTCGTTTTCGGAGCATAACTCAGAAACCGTTCAATATTTTTTCATCAAACTTTGCAGGTCTGTCAGGTACATGCTGAACTGGTGCCTTTTGCTATTTAGAAATTTTAGAAATCTTTATTTTTTAAGTTTCCATGGCAACAAGATGGACTTAGGTTGCAAACTCTCTTTTTTTTACAATTTTCATGACAAGTTCCACCTCGGTTAAAAAAGATTAGGGTTTGTTTAGATTTAATTATGTCATAAATTCTGCAACGGGGGTGGGGGTTATAGCCACGTTAGTGGCAAACTCTTGTTTATACTAATAATATAATACATAACATGCATAACACAGTCCAACCTCCCTTCCCTATATTTTGATGGGTTGTTCTTATTGACTAGGGAAAGACAGGGCACTGGCCATGCTTGACATTACAAACACTAATAAAAATATGTCAAGAACAAGCCCCTACACATTCCACAAATCAAACAGAGAGGGATTTTACAATTGCTTCAAGCACTATTGTGGACTAATTTTGAGGTGAGGTGAAATTGGGTTTAGCTTCGTGTCCAAGATTATTGCACTTATATAGCGATGTGCATGCACGTGTGTGTGTGTGTGTGAGTGGCTGCTTGTACTAGTCCGGCCAATGCCGATTTATAGTGCTAGAGATACCATGCTGCAGTTTAACATGAATACCCCCCTCAGACACAGTATACTGACTCCGAGCCGACCAGTCCTTGTTTTACCCCCTGTGTGACAATCGCCAGACAGGGTAACAACAAGTACCATCATTTAATGTCTTTTGGTATGACGCGGCCGGGGATTGAACCTTGGACCTTCCACTCTCTGGGCAGACACTCTACCACTAGACCACGGAGGAGGTCCAACTAATTTTGAAGGTTGAGTGAAGGGTTGTATAACAAAATATCATGACCAAAATGTTATTGTGGTCCCTTGAGGGGTGGACATGGTGGAGCTGATCATGCTAGTTAAACTTAAATGATCTTGTACTGTGTATCATATGTATGTGGATATCTCAGTTTTTAATCATGTTACTTTGTGTAATGCGGGTGATCTGTCTGTAGACAATTGAGTTTTTTCTTTCTGTTCCAGCCACAGGGGCAAGGCTGACCACATCACCGACACAAATAACTATTGGGGGAAGTAACCCAACATCTGAGTTGACTGTAAGTTGTACTCCAGATGCAAATGGGATAACAGAACTGTATAGCATAGAGATTGGCAGGAAACCTTCTACTGGTGATAATCAGCCTATAATAAGAATGAGCAACACAGGTTCGTCAGTAACAGTAGTGGACACAAGTCTACAGCAGCGGATAAGTACCTCCGGTTCTATCACTGGAGCAACAGGAAACATACAGTTCATCCTGACAGATCTGAGATGCACTGATGCTGCTTCTACATACTATTGCTCCACCCTATACTTGGCAGGATCCATTGGAAGTGATGAGACACCCACCAACATCACAGCTATAAGTAAGTTTGAAAGGCTTGAATACAAAAGTGTAATAAAACTTTGATGTGAAACCCATTCTACACCATTATACTCACTGAGGCCAATGAGACCAAGGTCTATAGTTTCATGTCAAAACCTGATGATGACTACATTGATCCCGAATTTCTCCCCTTTGGGACTGTGGTTTGCAATTCTTTACTTAAGTCCCATAAACATGATTTGATGTTTTGAATGGGTAATTTAACCTTGGAAACTTTTTCTTGTTGTAAGCATGGGAAGAGCTGGTTAAATGGATCAGTGGTCAGGTTGGTGACTTGATTCATTGCATGTCATCATACCCCAAAATACCAATCACAGCTTTGTCTTGTCAGGCTTGATTATCTATTGACAAAGTAGACACATCTTATGGATAACAACTTCTGTATTTTACTGCAATGGCACCGTTTAGGTATAGATCCTTATACCATTGTCAAACCAGGCAAGGCTCTATACCGAAATGTCGCCATTACGGTAAAATAAAGAATTTATTGTCTATAAATTGTGTCTACTTTTTCATCTGTCAACTTCTAAGAAATGCCTATCAAACAATTAATTATTTATTGGTCCCCAGCGAAGGGTTAAAATAGGTCTTCAACAACCCCTTGTTGTAAGATGGGACTATGCTAATTTTAAGAGGCAACAATAGGATTGGGTGGTCAAGACTTGCTGATTTGGTTGATGCATGTCATCGTATCCCAATTGCATAGATTGATGCTTGTGATGTCAATCACTGGATTGTCTGACCCAGACTACACCCATATAGCTGGACTATTACTGAGTGCGTCGTGAAAATACAAACAGATATTTACAGGCAGTTCCAGAGCTACATGTTCAATTAACTTGAGTACAGAAAGACATGCATTAAATGAAAAACTCAAATGTATAAGAACAGCATGCGTAAATACCCAATGAAGCCTTTTCAACATGAGTACGAAGGAGCTAATTTCCCAAACACAATTACAAGCTAATTTACTTTCCGAGTCCAGCCTATATATTTGGAACAGTTATATACATCTAAAACATTATTCAATGTTTTTTAAATCTTAAATGTTCACAAATTTTGGGCAATGTTGGGAAAAACCCAATAGAGTGATGAATAGATGACTGAAAAAATATTGGTTACCCAATGAGATGTAATAATCCAATTAAAATAGAAACCCTAGAGTAAAAATTCAATTACTCAAGAAGTTATCTGGAGCTCTGCAGTTCTGTTATATTGTTGACAGCAGCTTCCAACAAAATACGTCAGAAACCTATGATCGTGGGTTCAAATCCCGGGTCGCCGTGATTATGTTTCTAGGTTTGTCAGCACCATACCCCTGCTCAAGAGTTTCACCTAAGTGGTAAACGTCTGAGACCTGCATCACTTCGGGCTTTCCTCCCAAATTATTCTGACACTCCGTGATGTAACTGGAATACTGTTAAAAGCGGCATTAAACTCACTCACTCATACAAGACAAATCTTTGCTATTGCTCCTCCTTGGTCAAGCAATTGAAATGTTTGGTTTGACCTTCTGTTCATTTCTGTCGCGCTGAAGACCCGGGTTCGATTCCCTGCATGGGTAAGTACAATGTGTGAAGCCCATATCTGGTTTTCCCCCGCCATGATATTGCTGGAATATTGCTAAAAGAGGCGTAAAACCACTCACTCACTCTGTTCATTTCTATCTTCCAGCTTACCCGGAACAGATAGAGATGTTCCCTACTCCCGACAGGGCCACTTATGACAATGGTCAGCTGATCTCATTCAGGTGTACAGGCAGGATGGGGAACCAGTTTGATGTGAACAATCTCCAGAGCCTGTGGACATGGGAGTGGCGATCTATAGACAACGAGTTTGCCTCCTGGACACGATATCCAAACGACCAAAACATCACCTATGAGACTCCTACTCCCGTGTCTGTGTCAGGGGGGTGCCAGTATAACGGGGCGTCAACACTGCTTCATACAGTCTCGAATCTAGACAATGGGAGACAGTTCAGGTGTTCTGTCATTAATGAAGACTACAGTACCAACAAGACAGTTTTTCTTGTTGGTAAGTTGTCTTAAACAGCATTCCCTAATTCTTTTGTTGAGAAGCTTGCCAGCAGGTTTTATCATGAATACATTAAGACAGGTATATCATGTGTATAGGGGGTAGCCTCGTGGTTAAAGCGTTCGCTCGTCACGCCGAAGACCCTGGTTCGATTCCCGACATGGGTACAATGTGTGAAGCCCATTTCTGGTGTCCCCCGCCGTGATATTGCTGGAATATTGCTAAAAGCAGCGTTAAACCATACTCACTCACTCACTCACTCATGTGTATATGCAGCAACCTATTGTACTACATGTATCAATGCATCATAATTATGAAATGGTTTGTCTGTGCAAGATGTCTCTGAAACCTTAGATATTACTTCAGCAAACTTGCCACATAGATTGGTCCAGTGGTGAACTGGTGCCTTTTGCTAGTTTGGGATAATTTATTAATTAATTCTTTCGACTTTCCATGACAACTACTTTGACTTGGACAGAAAATGGCAGAAGGGCTTGTTCCTGGAGCAGATCTTGAAAACTGAACAATATTTTTACAGCAAACATGGCACATGGATAGGTCAAGTGGTGAACAGGTGCCTTTTGAAAGTTTGGGAGTTTTTAAAATATTGTTTTTTTTAGTTCCATGGCAACAAGTTTCAAGCTTCAAGTTTGTCCACGACAAGTTGCCTTTGTGGGGGATATTAAGAAGTCTGTCCTCCATGTTTTCTGTGGCCTGATGGCAATACAACATTGGGGATTACGCTTTCTCAATACCGTACAAATTCTAGTACCTAGTACCACTTTACCATAGGCATTGTGAATTCCTAACTTGTACAATGTTGACAAATTAAGGTATCAATTGTTAACAATAGCTATTACAGGTGCTATGCTCAGAAGGGGTGTTTTTAGTGTTTCTGTAAAAAAACGAAAATGTACACAAGAAAATATGGACTTGATGTAGGGCTCAGCCAATGCAGTGATGATGAACGTTTCCATTTGCAGCTAGCAATCCACTGATTGAAGAGTCATGGGAAAACTAATAGAGGATAGCATCATAGATTCATTCCTCATACTCGTTACATCACAAGGGTGTGTTATGTCATGTCTATTGTGTTTCTGGCGTTACACAGCAACCCATGCTTGCCGTAAGAGGCGACTATGCTTGCCCTAAGAGGCGACTAACAGGATCGGGTGGTGCCAGTCATCGTATCCCAACTGCATGGATTGATGCTCATGATGTCAATCACTGGATTGTCTAGTCCAGACTCAATTATATACAGACCATCGTCATATAGCTTGAATATTGCTGAGTGCGGTGTTAAAGGATAAACAAATAAAACATCACTAAAGTGTGTTTTTCCATTGTTCTGGCGTTACACCACCATGGTGATCTGTCCATGGTTTCATCAAGTTCCCCTTCTTTGTAACTTCCCTGTGTGTGCGCATGCCGAGGAATGACGACTCAATTTCGATGAGATCGGAGCAAGCGTTGGTTCAGGGCTTTTCATAACTGTATAAAGTGCATGATATTCTTTATTCGACGTGGTGTAAGTAGGTTAGTGCCCCTCTGGAGATGATATGAATTCAGCACTGCTGTCTAATTCATCTGTGCCACAATTCGCTGTGCAGAGTTGCGTCCCTTGGGCACCCCAGAAACCTATGATTGTGGGTTTGAATCACAGTTCTCCCGATTATGTTTCTAGGTTTGTCAGCACCATACCCGTGCTCGTGGGTTTCATGGAAGTGGTGAACGTCTGAGACCTGCATCACTTCAGACTTTCCTCCCACATCATGCTGACACGCCGCGATATAACTGGAATACTGTTCAAAGTGGCAATAAACCGCACTGAGTCACTCACTCAAGTTCCATATTTTTACAAACTATTTTCTTATGTTTCCAGGACAAGCACCCATAACTTCTGCTCCTGGTTCAAATACTGGCGGTGAGTTCTCCCAGAAAGAATGAATTTCAATATCGGTACCTATAGCTCTATCAAGGCAGGACCTGTGTGCAGAACATATTTTTAATGGTTCAAATAGGCTCAAAAGTTCATGGAGTTATGCTTAGTTCAGAGATGAGAAATCAGCAGCTATTAGCCGGTAGCATCAATATGAAAGTTATGTCAATAGTAGACCCTAGTGTTGATGTTAGAACCTGGTGTCGACATAAGACCCTAGTGTCGACATTAGACCATGGTGTAACGCAGAGAAGACTTGGCTGTGAATGTTTGAAATGAGACTGTACAATAATCAACCACTGCCTAAACATGCTTACGGAAGCACATTAAGCGTTCATCAGTGTTTGTTTCATAAGTCTCATGTATACATAGTTGTTATTTATACATAATCCTGAATACATTTCAAAAATTACTTGTATGCAACCTTTAGAAAATATGAACTAATGCAAACACTTACTTGAGCATGTTGAGTGTCTTAAAATTATCTGCGAGACAGTCTGGAGGAAAATTTTATGCAGCCTGACTGAATAGTTACCAGCTACGGACAGGCAGGCAGGCGGTTATTTCGGACACTGCTTGTAACAAGTAGTATGCACAGTTGTAGTTGCCGATGGGACTAGGGTCAGTACACTTTGCGCGAATGGGTAACTGTTGAACATGTCTCTGTTGTGTACATCAGGTGCTTGCCTCTTGTTTCAGAAGCTGGAGTGGATGGTGGCATGATTGCCGGTATTGTCGTGGCTATCCTGGTTGTCATCGTCATTGTCGTCGTTGTCATCGTCGTCATTCGCAAGAAAAAAAGTGGTGGCGAGCATTGTGAGTATACCACTGGATCTCTCTTCCTAGCTTTCACCGAAGTGGTGAACGTCTGAGACCTACATCACTTCGGGCTTTCCTCATACATTAAGCTGACACGCCGCGATATAACTGTAATACTGTTAACAGCGGCGTTAAACCCAACTCACTCACTCACTCTCTTCCTAGCTCGGGGTGTTGGGGTAGCCTAGTGGTTAAAGCTTTCGCTCGTCACGTCGAAGACCCAGGTTCGATTCCCGACGTGGGTACAACGTGTGAAGCCCATTTGTGGTGTCCCCCGCCATGATATTGCTGGAATATTGCTAAAAGCGGCGTAAAACCAAACTCACTCACTCACTCACTTCCTAGCTTGTATTACCCACAGGGTCGGGCTCTGGGTCTCCCGGGCGGTCAGGTAGCCTAGTGGTTAAGGCGTTCGCTCGTCACGCTGAAGAACCAGGTCGATTCCCAACGTGGGTACAATGTGCCTATTTCTAGTGTCCCCTGCTGTGATATATCTGGAATATTGCTAAAAGCGGCGTAAAACCATACTCACTGTGAAGGAGGATCACTGGATTGTCCGGTCCAGACTTAATTAATTACAGACAACTGTCATATAGCTGGAATATTTGCCGAGTATGGTGTTAAACAACAAACAAGCACACAAACGAGACAAAAAAAAATAGGCCATATGTATATAAAATAAATAAATGTACATCATTTCTTCAATACAGAATAGTTACTGTTATTTCATGTCCCAGTTGTCTAAAATAAGTCTTTCATTTTCATTTTCAGATGAGACAAAGGAAGAAGATGGAAGAGAGTAAGTGTGGATTCTGTAATGATTTGGGACAAAACTAAACAGTGCAATTTAGATCCTAGCGATATGGGTTAATTTGCATGCACACATTTATTGGCCTACTAACCACCCATTCTTACAGGTCATGGGGGCGGGACGCGATAAGATGCCATGATTTGCTGTGCAGAGTTGTGTCCCTTTGATCGAAGGTTCAAGTCCCAGATTATGAGCCTTGGTTTGCCTGCATCCCTTTCCTCCCGACTGATATGACTGGAGTACCTCTCACATCCCCATCCAACCCAAACCACTTGCACCTCCTTTCAGAGTCCATTATATGGAGTTGTGTCCCTTCGGGTCATCAGGATCCAAGGTTAAATAATATCTTATAAGGGGGTACCACATGTCCTTGGTTATCTAGTGTATCATAATACGTTAAAAGATGGAACTTGTTGTTACCCTGCCTGGCACTTGGAAATGAGGGGCTAAAACAAGGACTGGTAGGCTCGGAGTCAGTATACTGTGTCTGAGTGGGGTATTCATGTTAAACTGCGGCATGGTATCTCAGTGGGCTTGCACTATACGGGGCTAAAACAAGGACTGATCTGCTCAGAGTCAGTATACTGTGTCTGAGTGGGGTATTCTTGTTAAACTGCAGCATGGTATCTCAGTGGGCTGGCACTATACGGGGCTAAAACAAGGACTGATCTGCTCGGAGTCAGTATACTGTGTCTGAGTGGGGTATTCATGTTAAACTGCGGCATGGTATCTCAGTGGGCTGGCACTATACGGGGCTAAAACAAGGACTGATCTGCTCGGAGTCAGTATACTGTGTCTGAGTGGGGTATTCATGTTAAACTGCGGCATGGTATCTCAGTGGGCTGGCACTATACGGGGCTAAAACAAGGACTGATCTGCTCGGAGTCAGTATACTGTGTCTGAGTGGGGTATTCATGTTAAACTGCGGCATGGTATCTCAGTGGGCTGGCACTATACGGGGCTAAAACAAGGACTGATCTGCTCGGAGTCAGTATACTGTGTCTGAGTGGGGTATTCATGTTAAACTGCGGCATGGTATCTCAGTGGGCTGGCACTATACGGGGCTAAAACAAGGACTGATCTGCTCGGAGTCAGTATACTGTGTCTGAGTGGGGTATTCATGTTAAACTGCGGCATGGTATCTCAGTGGGCTGGCACTATACGGGGCTAAAACAAGGACTGATCTGCTCGGAGTCAGTATACTGTGTCTGAGTGGGGTATTCATGTTAAACTGCGGCATGGTATCTCAGTGGGCTGGCACTATACGGGGCTAAAACAAGGACTGATCTGCTCGGAGTCAGTATACTGTGTCTGAGTGGGGTATTCATGTTAAACTGCGGCATGGTATCTCAGTGGGCATGTTAATAGAATAGATCCTGGTTGTCGTGAAATGATAACACAGTGATAGAGGAGGGGTCTCCCCAAAAAACAAAACCAAGGAAGGGTGCCATAAATAAATGGTGGTTCTATTTTTTCAAATAAAAAAAATAAAATTTGAACATTATTTGAGATTAGTCATGATAGTAGTTGCAGATTGTAATTGAATCGACTGTGGTGTCTGCAGACTCCTGATAGAGAGGACAAAGTGTGACATAAATGTCACTGTAAAATGTTTAATATTCTGCACTATAAGCTGATTTAGCATAATGTAAACTCACCAAACTCTCCTACCAAGACAAGTTTATTCCACAGAAAAAAATGATAGTGAACGGTACAAATAAAAAAATTTAATATTTGTTTACCCAAGCTAAATTGTTTATTCAAGAATCTGTAAAATATAGCATTAGACAGTGTGATCTACCCCACGTGTAGAAAGTCAGTTTGATCTTGTTGATAAGAATAACATTGGAATTGTAAAGTTGAAGCAAAATTGTTAAATGGCTAAAAGCACCTCAGATTCTGTAGGCAAAATATTCTTATGTATTTTTTGTGTTTCAGTAATTTACGTCCTCAGTCGAATCAGCATATGTTATGTGAGCCCATGTACAAAACCCTTGATAAAGTCACTGCTGATTTGCCTTTCATTCTAGCATGATTACCCTGCATTAAGAAAGCCTACCCCTCTCGCTTCCCGACTGTACAAACCTGTCACCTCTCGCTGCTTCTCTCCCTTCAGAACGGGGTCCCCTTGAAGACCCGGGTTAGAATAGGTCTTCAGCAGCCCATGCTTGTTGTAAGAGACGACCAACGGGATCGGGTGGTCAGACTCACTGTCTTGGTTGATGCATGTCATCGATCCCGAGTAGAATGATGCTCATGATGTCAATCACTGGATTGTCTAATCCAGACTCGATTATTTACGGACTGCCATCCTATAGTTGGAATATTGCTGATTGCGAGTAAACAACAAACAAACAAATAAAAAATGGGGATTGCTGACAAGAATAGTTTCATATTTATAGGAACCATTGCTCATTTTATGCATTACTGATTCTTTGTCAAAGGCCCGATTTTAAAAGCCCCAATGGTTCAGCTCACAAAATAATATTCCCTCCAAAGGTCCTTCCACCCAGGTACTGAATAAAGCTGACCGAAGTTGTACTTTGTGCAGACGCTGATGCTGCTGTTTAACACTGGCTGCGTTAACTCACTCACCCCACGCACTGTCGCTCCTGACATGAATGTTGTTTTATGCATGCTTACTAATTTACTAATTCTAGGTGAAAACACATGTAATGTGTTGGTGCAGTATCACACAATAGTTCTCTGTATCATGGTACACAGTATCGCACAATAGTTCCCTGTATCATGGTACACAGTACACAGTATCGCACAATAGTTACCTGTGGACACGCACACACACACGGACACACACACACACGGACACACACACCACACATGGACACACACGCACACGGACACACACACACAGTGTTCGGCTCCGTGCCTCTAGTACTTCTCACAAATCGGAAGGCTGCTGGTTTAATCCCCTGCTGGGTTAGAACACATTAGGAGGCTAAAACAAGGACTGGTGTGCTGGGGTCCATATACTTTTTCTGATTGGGGTATCCATATCAAACTGCGGCATGGTATCTCAGTGGGCTAGCACTGAAGAAAACCGACATTAGTCCCGACTAATACAAGCAGCCACACACGTGTGCAATTCGCAATATAAGTGCATTAATCTTGAATGCGATGTTAAATCCTCTTTTCACCTTAGACCCGTGAAGATCCGGGGTAGAACAGGTCTTCAGCAACCCATGCTTGTCGTAAAAGGTGTCTAACGGGATCGGGTGGTCAGGCTTGCTGACTTGGTTGATACATGTCATCGATCCCAAATGCGTGGATTGATGCTCATGATATTAATCACTGGATTGTCTGGTCCAGACTTGATTATTTACAGACCGTCGTCATATAGCTGGAATATTGCTGAGTGCGTCATAAAACAACAAACAAACAAACCAACTTTTCACCTCACCTTTGTTGTTATCTGCCAAATTTCAGATGTCAGAAAAGGGAAAAAATAACTGATATCAGACTCAACGTAGGAACTTTGTCTCTGTTCACAGTGAAAGGCCGGAAATGACCCCCAATGTTGTGTACAGCACCCCGGCCAGCTATGACCAACGGGTGAGTACCTTCGATAACATAACAAAGTGCTTAGTTTCTGTTCCTATAACATGATATGACAAGATAGGAAACCACACCAGGATATCATCCGTTTCTCTCATGAAGGTGTGCTTAGAATAATGTTTAAGCCGTGATTTCACTCAATGAAGTAACTGGGACGGTCGGGTAGCCTAGTGGTTGAAACGTTCGCTCGTCACGCCGAAGACCCGGGTTCAATTCCAGACATGGGTACTATATGTGAAACCCATTTCTGGTGTCCCCCGCTGTGATATTGCTGGATTATTGCTAAAAGCGGCGTAAAGCCATACTCACTCACTCAATGAAGTAACTGTGTATGAATATGTTTGAGTTATCCCCATTTGTCATAGGGTGCCATTTGACCTGTAGCCATGTCTTTATCACACATTGTGAAACCTCAATCTAAACTTATTGGGAACACTGCATCGATGTACGGAGCTTATAAGTAATTCTGGGAGGAGGGGTAGGTAGCTAAGTGGTTATTGCATTCGCTCGTCATGCCGAACACACGGGTTAGTTCCCGAAATGGGTATATCGTGTGAAGCACATTTCTGGTGTACCCCGCCATGATATTGCTAGAATATTGCCAAAAGCTGCGTAAGATAGTACTCACTCACTAAAAGTAGTTCCCTATAAGTGACTCCATTTGCATATTTATCGAATCCAAAATTCAAGTTTATCGGATTGGTTTATTGAATCGATAATTTGGCTGCAACGAATACACTGTGGCGAATACGATTCATATCACAAATATAGGGTAACGAATATGAATATTAATTCACGAATACAATAACAAGTCAGCAGCTGATGTATTATTTGTTATATTCAGTGAAACAATAACAACATAAATTATTTGACATGGTCTGTTAATTATTAATATATTATACATTTATATACTGCACTTATCCAGGTACTAGTATGTGCTCTGAAGCGATAATGACCAGTGACCACAATACCGTCAAATTTGATATTATAAGAGTGTTGTCTTGGAAGGAATCTATGCATATGATATGTTCTTATGGATGTTTTTTGGTACAGGGTATGTAAATGCACATGATTGCATATTCATGAATATTCAATTCTAGTGGCCATGAATGGATACGGTTCGATTCACCAAATATGCGAGTGAATCGTAACAGCCCTTATCGATAACACTATCTATTTTCTGACAAACACATTTCCCAATTTACTTGATAAACTAAACATGAGTGTCAAAACTTTTTATTGTCTGAAATTTGATAAGGACTCCAGTCTTCTCAGAATTAGAAAATAAATATGCTTGTTAATTGAACAAGAATTGAAACCTCCCTCTGTGCCTGCTTGCCAGTCACATTATATATGACTATTTTTCCCCCTAACTTGTAAACATTGGAGGATAAGGTTTGGAAATATTTATATCCTGTGGACAAATATTATTTTTCCACATCGCAAGCCTCGTTTTAATGACAAGATGAATAGGGAAAATCATTATTGTGTTTATTATGTTTCAGCAATAAACAAAATTAATAAAACAATTATATACAATTAAATATTTCCATGATTTATTTAAGTTAAATTATTTTATGCATCATGCTAAAAGGTTATTGCATTCAATTTCAATTTCTTTTATCGTGACAAATTTTGATGCCTTTTGCAAATATAGCATAAATAGGAATGGATTGTGAGACATATAATAATATAGCATAATATTGAAGCCAAATTATTTTTTCTAACTTCTAAATACAAATATTTTTGGAAAGAAAATCAGATTTAATATCACAATTAAGTTTTTGGCAACATATTTATGGTTATAGGTCATTACAGGTCATTACAGGTCATTACAGGTCAAAGTGACCTTAGGATCATGGTCACAGCAACCTAACAGCCATGGCCACAGTGACCTTGGTTATATTCATAAATGTCATGCTGACCTTTTGTTTTATAGACATAGGTCATGGTCACAATGACCTACTTTCTGGACACAGGTAACAGGTGGCAGAATTCATTGTCATTTTCACTCTCACCTTTTGACCTTGACCTCTAAAGAAGTGAACAAAAACTTTCAAATAATAAGTCCACATTGACATGGCATGGAAATTATGACAATCTTTTAAATTCTGCCACCTCACCTTGTCTTGCAGGAAGACGATGACAAAAAAGATCGAAATGCTAACGCAGAAGGCCTACATTATGCCGACCTTGACCTTGCTAGACTACCTGAGAAAGGAGAGCCTGCCTACAGACAAAAAGATGGGCCAACCGAATATGCATCCATCCGTCTGTTTTGAAAACATGTTCTGTGATAGAAACATTAGTACACATTGATGTCCGTCTGAACATCAGTTTGTCTACACTGTGCATTACGAAGAGTTATTCCCCTATTGGAATAGAGAAACACTCCAGGACCCACTTGTACAGAATGATCTTGGCACTTAGACTTTTGATACTCCTATACTGACAATATTTGTCATGCTAAGACTCTTAATTAAACTTAGATTTACGACACTTGTAGCTCCTATACTTTAACATAGATTTCCAACAGTTGTAGTACTAAGATTATTGTTATTTCTATACTTTAACATAGATTTAAATTACAATAGTTGTGATGCTAAGACTATTGTTCAGGTAAATGACTGATGTTACCCTCATTCTTAGTCGACGTTCTACTCAACAGCTGAATAGGAAAACATTCCGACTGTTTTCAGTTTTTTCACGTGTTTTTACATCTGTGAAATATTTTTCAAAAATAATTGTTTTGACTATATGTTTGTTTTAGTAGCACAAAACAAAAGTTTTCCAACATGGTATGAAGTTTATCATAAGTTTCAGACGTATGTTTCATACAATGAATGAAATTATTTTTGTATGCTTGTTCCACATGAATATTTATAACTACAACTGCTTGGCTTAATAGGCTATTTGTTAGGTTTAAATGGCATATCTTCATATGAATAGCAGTAGCAGTGTAGTAAGGTATACGAGAATGTGGCTCTCGGACGATTGGAACAAAACTACTTTGTACATAGTCTCCTGGTGGCTCAGTACTCTGAGATACAGGCGGCCAACTCACAGCCTATGATTGTTGTATGAGGCGACTACACGAATAGGCTGCCTGTCATACTACCCTTATGCTCAAAATATCAAAATCACTGGATTGTCTTGTCCAGAGTTGATTATTTACCAGCAGACATCATATATCTGGAATATTGCAGAGTGATGTTAAACAACAAACATTTTGAAAGATACCGTATCTGATGTAATAAGGGCCCAACTCTAATAAATAAGCGCCTGCGGAGATATTTGCTAATATATTGGCTGGTGAACAATCCCAATTCCTTCCGATTGATCAATGTACAGAATACTTATTTATTCGTGTATAATACGCACTCGTGTGTTACAATACACCCTTGATTATGGGCAGTTAAATTCTAGAAAAATATATCTGTCGTGTATAATACACACAGACTTTTCTTTTGGGGGATTTCTTTAAAATTCCAAACTAAGCACCTTTGACAAATTTGGGTACAATGGTAGATCCATAGTGATGTACGATCTTCTCTACCGTGATTATTTACAATTTTGTTTGCCATGATAAGATTGGTAAAGACTTGATTTAATAATATTTTTGTATTTCATTGTTTGTATGCTATTTACGTGACATCATTGTTCAGATATATATACTTATACATCAAGAGTTTCTAATATTTTGTATAAAATATTCAGGTTTCTTATACTTCTCGTGTCATTATGTATCTAGCCATCGGGGCATTATCTCTGCTTTAGTGATGTGAATGATGATTTCTGGAAAATGTAAAACCCAATGTTGACACTGTCATTTCACTCAAATCATATATTGATGAAAGAGTGCTTACTGAAAATAGAATATTCCCACTCTGTGTAAAAGTGAAAAAAGACAAGCCGAAATTATAACTGTTGGTCTCTTTAGGCGTTGATGCAGGAAGTTCAATAAAACATGAATATCGTCAAAAACGAGGGAAAAGAAAGAACTAACATGTCCCTGTTCAACTATTTACTGAGAAAATATCATTTCAAAGCCTATTCCACCAATTTGTTTGAGTTAGTTCAATTCAAGTTAAATTAGTATTGGCTACTGCGGAGTTAGACATTACTTGCTACTGTGAAGTGACCACTCCCATGAGGCCCCTCCTACATAGGATGGGGGCACGGGTGGCCCAGTCGTCTAAGGCGCCGCGATTCGCTGTGCAGAGTTGCGTCCCTTGGGCACGCCAGAAACCCATGATTGTGGTTCGAATCCCGGTTCGCCCCGATTATGTTTCTAGGTTTGTCAGCACCATACCCGTGCTCGTGGGTTTCACCGAAGTGGTTAATGTCTAAGACCTGCATCACTTCGGGCTTTCCTCCCACATTAAGCTGACACGCCATGATATAACTGGAATACTGTTAAAAGCGGCGTTAAACCCAACTTACTCACTGACTCACTCCGACATAGGACACATACATCCAAGTAAACAGATGACCATTTCTCTCTAAACAGAAGCCTGTGTATCATAATCGTAAATCTGTAAGTATTCCCGCCCTTTGTCTGCTATAGATGTGAACAACAGCAACTGACGAAAGCAACTGCCTTCAAATGTTGGTATTCTTATATTTTGTGATCAGAATATTTCATTTATCCAATAAGTGATACATCATATATTTGATGGATTTTGTGTCAAATGATTTATCAAGCCTTTGTGTTTACTGCAGCCTTATCTTTTTTAAACCGCAACCTCAGTTACACAAATCCTGCAGGATGGATATCCTTTTTTCAAAACATTTTTTGTTGTGCAAAATCAACCGTTTTGGAAATTAATATTGCCTCTTGGTACTTTGACCAAGGATGTACATAAAATTAGAAATTGAATTGGTCTACTCTGAACTTGGTGTAAAGAGTATTATTTTTCAAATGTCACAATGTACAATGGATGCCAACATTTTCAGGTGTTAAGCAATGCCTACGTGTGCCTCTTTTTGCATTAAGGCTGAATATGTAATGATAGCTTTTGACTCGCTCACTCACTCATTCACCCACTCAATTGCCTTAAAAAAATTGTTGTAATTCAACATGTACATCGGGGGGCACGGGGGGCCCAGTCGTCTAAGGCGCTGCTGTGCAGAGTTGCGTCCTTTGGGCACGCCAGAAACCTTTGATCGTGGGTTCAAATCCCGGTTCGCCCCGATTATGTTTCTAGGTTTGTCAGCACCATACCCGTGCTCGTGGGTTTCACCGAAGTGGTAAACGTCTAAGATCTGCATCACTTCGGTCTTTCCTCCCATATTAAGCTGACATGCCGTGATATAACTGGAATACTGTTAAAAGCGGCGTAAAACCCAACTCACTCACTCACCATGTACATCGTACATCATATTTGATACGTTTCACATGAATTCATCAGACGCTCCCTCCAGAGTTGTCTCCCCTTCTTTATTACACTGTACTCTCACACTTGCATGAATCTTTGCTCGCAGGTCACTCAATACATTTCAGTGCTAAGAATTTGTGGGTTTGGGTTAATGGAACATGCACAATTTCTTTTCATCTGTTATGTGTGGTGTTTGATAAGATTTCATCACAAAACAGGGACACTTTACATGAGAATTAAGGTTTATATATTTTTTATTACAGATCCATGTTATTTTCATCTTGTTCTCGTGAATATTTTTTAAGTTCAATTCTTAAGTGTAAATTAAATTAAGTGTCTTAACATGGATGCTACCTACATCGAATGATATGCTGCAATCAAACTAGAAGATCATAACTTGTCTTTGTCTCAGGAGTTCAATCAGGAACCTGAAATATTGTCATACATAAGACTAAAAAAAATAGTAGTCTTTGTTCTCAGGCACCTACCACATCATCATAAAGTCTGTTGCACGTTTCGTTTATATTTCCATTTTCAAAAAAATATAAAATTCTTATACTTATTTGAAAATTGAAACAAAAACAAAACGTGCAATGAACTTTATGATGATGTGGGCAGTACCTGAGAACCAATGCTATTATTTTTTTTAGCCTAATACACTGTTCAACTTCTGATAGGGATAGTGAAAGACAGGGGCCCTTAGTTACTTCAGGATGGTCTGAGGTACAACAATTCGCTGTGCAGAGTTGCGTCCAGAAAACCAGAAACCTATGATTGTAGGTTTGAATCCCGGTTCTAGGTTTGTCAGCACCATACCGGTGCTCGTGGGTTTCACCGACGTGGTAAACGTCTGAGACCTGCATCACTTCGGGCTTTCCTCCCACATTAACCTGACACACCGTGATATGACTTGAATACTTTTAAAAGCAGTGTTAAACCGAACTCTCTATTTGTGCGTTCAGTTTATGGAAATCATTGCTTTTGATTATGAAGACGTTTAATTTATTTATAGGTGGTAGGGTGGTCTAGTGGTTAGTGTGTTCGCTCATCTTGCTGGAGGCCCAGGTTTTGTTTTCCCACATGGTCAAGATGTCAATCACTGGATTGTCTGGTGAAGACTTATTATTTACAGACCGCTGTCATATAGATGGAATATTGCTGAGTGCGGCTTTAAACAAACAAACAAACAAGCAAAAACAATGTGTGCGTTATTGCTGGAATATTGCTAAAACGAGTATAAAACAGCGAAATACCAAACATTTGCATCCAGAAAAGTCATTAGAAGGACAGGTTTCCCAGGTTAATGAGGGCCAGACTGACATGTTTTTACCTGCAATAATGGAAATATACCTATCAGAAGTTGACTAGTACTGTCCCTAACATAATAAATCAAAATGTAAAATGCGTGTGCTGTAGTGAGACTTTGCTGTAGTCAGAGACTGCTTCAAGCTAGGTGCAAATCTAGAAGGTAGGAAGGTAGATGTAGAAATTTGCTATCTCTTGCAAGTCAAAGTTTCAGAATTACTGTATTTAGCTCACCTGACGGAGTCAAGTGAGCTTATGTCATGGCCTGTGTGTACGGGATAAACATCTTCTCCACAAGAAGCACTGGACCAGTGAATCGGAAACTTTACATGACCTTTCCGCTAAAGATGACCCCCAGTTTCTTAAAGAACCTGATTTTCAATATGGCAGGCTTTAAGACATTATGCCATATCTCGGGCATTTTTGTTCATAATGTAATGAATTTGGTAAATGTAGGACCCAAGTGGTGGAGCATAACGTATATGTTCAGTTTTAGGGGATGTCTTAAGTTTTGACCTTGATTTGACCATTGCACTTTGACCTCACTGAAAGCTGAAACTGCTAATGGCGTGATGCTTTCACAGGGTATTAAGTAACAGTTGTGATTAATGTTGCCCTAAAAGAATAGATGGAAAAAAATAATCTGATCCTTCAAGGACAGTGAAAACAATAACAGATGCAATTCATGTTTTGCACGATGACTGTATTTGAGCATTGCAGTTGAGACAGTTTTAGAGCTAAGATCACTTTGTGAAAGAAGACCATGGTCCGTGTAATGCTTTGTTCAGTTGAATCGTTTGGTTCCAAACGAGTGCCAGAAGCTTTCTTCTCTCTCTCTTTCTCTCTGTGTCTGTCTCTCTTTGTGTCTCTCTCTGTTTTCTTTCTATCTTCCCCCTTCCTCCTCCCCTGAAGACGTATATTTCTCTCTTGTATATCATTTAGAATTTAGACAGCAATACTCAGTGATTTCTAGAATCAATCTGTATGCCTGTCTTCTAAAGTAGTTCTTTTCACAAATATTCACCCTCCATTCTGAAATTGAAACACTTCTGTTTCGTTTGTGACGAGCCTTGTTTGTTCATGGAGTAATATATTCCCAGGTTACGTGTACATAGATAGTTTCTCCGCCTTATGCCATGTAATACACAGCTTATACCTCCCTTGTACATAACTCACACACGATCCACAGAAACTGTCCATAACACATCTTTGATTAATTTATCCTAGATAACCATGGTAACTGATGGATCTGGTATATAACGATTGTTTGATTTTGTTAATCGCGCCAGACCAACTATATTTTTTTGTTTTACATTTTCTCTGACCAGTTGCAACCCTCCTCGATTATCCAGCACATCTCCATGTTATTATAAATACCCAGCACATATTCACTACCATAGTGATGTTTGAGTTGAGATCGAAAACACATGATGAAAATAGACGTCCAATCAACTTCTTCATGATTGAAACATTGAGTGCAGGGGCGGTCGGGTAGCCTAGTGGTTAAAGCGTTCGCTCGTCACGCCGAAGACCCGGGTTCGATTCCCGACATGGGTACAATGTGTGAAGCCCATTTCTGGAGTCCCCTGCCGTGATATTGCTGGAATATTGCTAAAAGCTGCATAAAACTTTACTCACTCACTCACCGATTTGACTTTATGTGTTGTCTCAGAAGGAATGCCTTCTTCTTCCCCAATACTCCGAAAACGTTTTTGTTTCGGCTAAAAGTTTGACAGTCTGATTTGGTTAAATACATTGAGCTCTCCCTTGGATGAGGCCACAGTGTTGAGTGTAGATGTATGCCGAACTCGTGTTGAGATGTGCTTTTTGATTGGTTGTGATGTCAATCCCATGAGCACTAAAATCTTGTGATTAGAGACTTGGAGCTGGCGACAGCATTTCCAAAACTGACCTGTGGAATCGGTCCTGCATATGTATCATTATTCACCCCCAACTGGCTTCCTCAGGAGATGTCCTTGGGTGAGATCAAGCGATGCCTTGTAGGAAATTGGGGGCGGTCGGGTAGCCTAGTGGTTAAAGCGTTTTCTCGTCACGCTGAAGACCCAGGTTCGATTCCTGACATGGGTACAATGTATGAAGCCCATTTCTGGTGTCCCCAGCCGTGATATTGCTGGAATATTGCTAAAAGCGGTGTAAAACATACACACTCTCACTCCTAAGAAATTGCATCAGAAAGCTTTGTGGACCATTGTGATGTCTTCGGTTTCCATGATGTCACAATGACATCACTCATCTCTTTGCCCACCAAGTTGGTTAGCTGAACACTTTTAGACTTTTATTGACTCATGTTGATAAATTTGGCATCAAAAGACACCTTTCAAGGTTTGTCAGCACCATACCCGTCCGTTCTCGTGGGTTTCACCGAAGTGGTAAACGTCTAAGACCTGCATCACTTCCCACATTAAGCTGATACGCCGCGATATAACTGGAATACTGTTCAAAGCGTCGTTAAAAACACAACTCACTCACTCACTCACTCACTCACTCACTCACTCACTCACTCACTCACTCACTCACTCACTCACTCACTCACTGTGAGACTGTGTAATACCCTGGATGACCAAGGATGAGTTGCAGTAGGCTGTAACAGAAAAATACAGTTGACTAATGGTCTCTTATGAAAGGAATAAACATGTTCAATAACAATGTAAAAGATCAAGTTGTAATTGCAAAAATGTTTCCAAAAGTTGTATGAGTCATCGTCAGTCAACCGTTTCATTTTATGTTGTTTTGTTTACAAGGAAAGAAATTGGTCTGGCCTTAATGAACCCAATCTAGTCAGCTTGACGAATGTGCCAAATATACAGAGAAGTGTTTACCAGTTCATTTTAGCTTTCTTGCCAGCTTTGACTTGTCTCAAAACACCCTCCTGTTGTACTTTGATCTAAGAGGGTTCAAATCCCACATTTGAACTTATCTGTTTTATCATTGATTTGCCAGCACCAAAACCCTGCTTTTGGATTGAACCAAAGTGGGAACAGTTTGAGTCAATGTGTTTCTCCCAGCTTATGTAGAACCTGTATCTCCTGCACCTTAGTCGATGTAATGCTAGGATCCCTTGTGGAACATCCCCCCCCAAACCAATTCTCAAATAAATCATAGCTACGACTGTTTGAAGTTATGTTTGGAAGATGAATGGTGTTACTTAAAAATGTTTGGCCTGGGAGGTTAAATTGAATATTGACTTTGAATATTTATTCTTTATCAGCCTTAAACTGCTTATGATGGTCACAAGGTATTGAAGTAATTGTTTTGTAAGAGATATGTTAGAGATATATTGATATATACCAAGGAATTGAATATACACTTTCCATATATTTTTGTCGTTTTGTGACGATTGTACATATTAATAGCAGTTTGCTATACCCTTGTATACAACCTCTGTTTTGTAAATAAATCTGACATATATAATTCTTGTATAAACAGTGTTCTTTCTTGAAATGCTGGAGGTTGGGTAGCCTTGTGGTTAAAGCTTTCGCTCGTTACGCCAAAGATCCGGGTTCAATTCCCGACATGGGTATATTTTGTGAAGCCCATTTTTGGTGTTCCCCGCCGAGATGTTGATGGAATATTGCTAAAAGCGGCGTACCTCTTCTTTGTTGGAGAACTTGTATTTGTCTGATAATGTATGGTTCGTTATTGGAAGTACATTTTGATCTTTTCGGCACAAAGTAGTTCATTAGTTCGTACATTTATTGTGTCTAGAGGTGGTGGGTAGCCTAGTGGGTAAAGCGTTCGCTCATCACACTGAATGCCTAGGTTCAATTCCGACATTGGTACAATGTGTGAAGCCTATTTCCGGTGTTACTTGTACTTCAGAAATAAACGACGAGTGGGAGGTGTTTATCGGACAATAAAACACTGCAGGGAGAATAGACCATGAGGGGCGCAGCAGTCATGTATTTCTTATATAAGATATCAACAATTTGTAAGCCTCTTTAAGAATGTTAATAACATGTACAAGTGTTTACAAAATATATTTAAGTGATGACTCCCTGAATACAGTCCGATCACAGCAATGTTGGACAAATCTATTTTATGAACCGAGGTTGTTAAGTTTGGTATTTCCTAGATATTCTCACAATTTTCACGTTGATTATTTGTACCTTTTCTCCCAATACTGATTGTCATATCTTACCCACTTTTGAATGCGAAAGTTCACATGGAAATGTCAAACATCAAATGCATATCTTCCAGTGGAACTGGTCCATTGAATCATGCACAGAGCTTTCTGGTCTAGCTTCGTTCACTCAGCTTTGTGTCATTGCATGTTGCCCTGAATTTTAACAAAGGCTGGAAACATGTGCATTAACATTGCCAAAATAGCATGGCCATTATGGGAAGTCATTATCTACAAGTATTTGCATGTGTCCAGCCACGTGAAGGTCCGGGTAGAGAACAGGTCTTCAGCAACCCATGCTTGCTGTAAGACGCGACTAACGGGATCGGGTGGTCAGACTCACTGACTTGGTTGATGCATGTCATCAGTCCCAATTGCTAGATCAATGCTCATGTCAATCACAGGATTGTATGGTCAATCCAGATTTGATTATTTACAGACTGCCGTCTTATAGCCGGAAAATTGTTGAGTGTGGCATTAAACAACAAACAAAGTTTCATTTGACCAAGCGGTGTGTACAGGATTTTACAAGCTGAATGGGATCGCATACCATGAGACCGAGATTGGACGGGAACGATTCGCTTGTGAAATCCTGGAGATGAAACATAAATTTGGGGACACTGCTGGCCCAGTTGTAAAAGGCGGTGTAATTTGCTCTGCAGAGTTGTGTCCATTAGGCATGCCAGACACTCGTGATCGTGGGTTCGAATCCTCCCTGACCATGTTTCTAGGTGCTCGTGGGTATTGCCAAGGTGGTAAATGTCTTGAGACCTGCATCACTTCGGCCTTTCTTCCCACATTAAGCTGACACACCATGATATAACTGGAATACTGTTCAAAGTGGTGTTAAACCCAACTCACTCGCTCACTCAACATCAGTAATTCTGATGAGGATTGGGTGTTCTGGTTCCTTGATCATTGTGCCCTGATGGTGTTGATCATTGCTCTCGTATCAAATTACTGCTCTGTCTGGGCCGTGGGCCGTGGGCCGTGATAGGGCTGGAATATTTCTGAGTGTGGCCTTAAACAACATTCATTTAACTTTCTCTATCATCTTGGGTAGATGACTGCTCAACTGACCTTGGTTAATAGACTAAGCAGGGCGCAGTTCCACAAAGCGATCTTAGCGCTAAGGTGATCGTAACTCCCATACTTCAACATGGGCGTACGATAGTCATAGCGCTAAGAGCTCTTTCTGGAACGGGAGCCAGATGAAGCGACCTCTTAACAGTATTATATGCAGAATTTCTGCATTGTCGGTTCCTGGATAATGTAACCTACTGTTTGTTTGTTGTTTAATGCTGCACTCAGCTATATTCCAGCTATATGACAGCGGTCTGTAAGTAATCGGGTCTGGACCAGACAATCCAGTGATTGACATCATGAGCATTGATCCACGCAATTGGGATATAATTACATGCATCAACCTACTGAATTGTAATCGACCAATGTACTTTGTACAGAAGTTTCAAATGACAATAACCATCTCTAAAACAGCAGGACCGCTGAAGCTAATATTCATAGAGAAGTACTTCTTTCTCATTGTGGGGTGGTGGAGTAGCTTTGTGGTTAAAGCGCTTGCTCGTCACGCCAAAGACCCGGGTTCAATTCCCCATTTGGGTATTGGTGGTGACCCCCTGCCGTTATATTGCTGGGTTGTTGCTAAAAGCGGTGTAAAACCATACTCACTCACTCTTTATCGTTGATACAAAACTTAAAATGATAGAACCATCTGATATCTGTAGCTTTCAAAATAAAGTGGTTACCTTGGTTACTCATATATTCAAAGCTTGTATGGCAGTACATTTCTGACAAAAATCACAATCATATCAGAGTCAGTGTGTACATGTTTTTGCTGAATTGAGTATATATTTTTAAATATAGCAAACTGATTTTGATGGTGTTATGTTTGTCTGTAAAACCAAGAACACGGAATGGTTTGTGATACATAATACGCTTAATATGTATGTATCGATACATATTGTTTCAAAACAGCTTCCTCACATTATTTCCCCTTGATGGTCCTGGGGTCGAATCCCAAATGGCCCTGATTGATCGTTGGTTTGTCTGCACCAAACCTGTGCTCATGGGTTTAAGAAAAGTTAAGGATTTTCTCCCACGTTTAACTCACATGCCTCAATATTGCTGATTTCAGGGTTTAAACAGTTATTGTACAAACCTTAGATGAATTTATAGTTGGTTTATGAGATTGACCAAAAGAAGACTACTGGTTTCTTACAGTTAGGTAAAATGAAAGAAACATGAGATTTTATCACTGTTGTTAGTAAGAAAGGTGAATAGTGATTATTAAAATCTTTATTCTAACCCATCAAAATCGGTTATCTTTTGTGTCGTTTGTTTGACCTACAAGTTTGTTTTTCATTCATTAGTAGCAACATTAATCAGGAAATTTAAATTTAAAAATATTTGGACCACCTTCTTTGAGGATTATTTTTGTTGGGAAAAAACAACTTATAAGAAATAGAAAGCCTGATGCCATGTTAGTTTAAATAATGCTCATGAAACCATCCTTTCCAGCCAAACCGGATGAAGGGCCGTGAGAACAACGCCATGGATGGGGAACAGGAGGGAAGCCCTCCCAACTACTACAACCACCGTGGCCAAACGAACCCCGCCATGGATGACGACCTGGACGACAGCAGAGCCAGCCGACGCAGCTACGACGACGACAACACTGACGCCAGACGGCCTCCACAGGGATACGGATCAGCCGTTTAGGAAGCTGCAGCAACTACATCATAATTTACCTACAGCAGCATCCATTCCATGACCTACACAGAGCAGATCATATTCTGTATTCTCAAAATTAACGTTGGCATGAGTGTTTACGTTTTAGAAAATTTGAAATTTTGAAATTTACTCTGTTAGTAAAATACAATGCATCTCACAATGAAGGGACTGGGAGAAACCGTTTATCGTAACATTTTGGAATTGCAGTAATGTGACAAAATAATGTGTCATTCACAAATTATGGACAAATCATGCCCATGTAATGATTATTTGAACTCAATTTTTCAATAATCAACAGGGGGCACAGGTGGCCCAGTCGTCTAAGGCGCCGCGATTCGCTGTGCAGAGTTGCGTCCCTTGGGCACGCCAGAAACCTATGATTGTGGATTCGAATCCCGGTTCGCCCCGATTATGTTTCTAGGTTTGTCAGCACCATACCGTGCTCGTGGGTTTCACGGAAGTGGTAAATGTCTGAGACCTGCATCACTTGGGGCTTTCCTCTCATATTGTGCTGATATGTCGTGATGTAACTGGAATACTGTTTCAAAGCGCCATTAAATCCAATATTAACAAATCACATTTTTTGTGAAAGTGAGACAATATTCACGCAAGCCTACATTTAGTTTCACAGTGAACAACTTGGTTGGTCTTGATATGCTATCGTAGTGAAAATAGTATCTTTTTGTAAATTTCTATTTGCAAATGCATAACTGATCTTTGTAAAAGGTGCGTATCCGTCCAAATTCTTTTGCCACTAGACAGCTGACAGATATGAAACTATTTTTGGTAGTTTGAATGTAGAAATTTGGCTTCATGTGGTGCCACCAATAACAGATAGTTGTGCAACCGAAAACAGTTGTGCAACCGATAAGTTTGTTGTGAAACCAATAACAGTTAGTTGTGAAACCAATAACAGTTAGTTGTGAAATCAATAACAGTTAGTTGTGAAACCAATAACGGTTGTGAAACCAATAACAGTTAGCTGTGCAACATTGGAATGGCAGCAGACTACAAGCAGATTTTATCAAAAGTGGTTCTAGTAGAAATTTAATTATGTGGAAGAAAAAATGCATGGTTCTTTCTTCTGCATTAATTGAGTATATAATCTTCAGGTGGAATATAGCTGCAGGAGGCTCTATATTGGTGGCACAGTCTGTGCCAAGCTCTTTTGGGACTACTATCTTGAAAAGACTCTAAGCAATATTGTCAGCAGAGCATTGTGTTATTGTATAGACAAGTTTACTAAACCAAACAGAAGTTACTTGACTCGGGCTTCGGACCAGTGGATAAAGTCACAGACTGATAACATTTGAACGACCAACATGTTGTGCTGAGTGTTCCTGTGACAGACCAACATGTTGTGCTGGAAGTTGGGAGCCTGATACAGGAGGATGAACAAAGATTGACAAAATTTGTATCCATTTAAGTAAGATTTTGCAATGATACCTTCAGGTAAATATATATACAACATGTTCAAATTCGGAACTGAAGTAAAAAATGTAACGGGTCACGGATGAATGGGTTCAGTGGATACAGACACAATTTAACAAGAATTAGATCAATATGTCTTAGGCATTATTTGTATGTTGGCGATGTAGATGGGCTGGCAAATGTCACTGCCGGTTCCATTGTCCTGATTTGTAGGTCGTGATTAGTGGTCACATGGTCCTGATTGGTGGTCCCGATTGGTGGTCCCTCAGTCTGGATTGGTGATCCAAAGGTCCCATTGGGCCAACAGTCCCGATTGGTGGTCCAGATTGGCAGTCACATGGTCCCGATTGGTGGTCCCTCAGTCTGGATTGGTGATCCAAAGGTCCCATTGGACCAACAGTCCTGATTGGTGGTCCAGATTGGCAGTCACATGGTCCCGATTGGTGGTCCCTCAGTCTGGATTGGTGATCCAAAGGTCCCATTGGGCCAACAGTCCCGATTGGTGGTCCAGATTGGCGGTCACATGGTCCCGATTGGTGGTCCCTCAGTCTGGATTGGTGATCCAAAGGTCCCATTGGGCCAACAGTCCCGATTGGTGGTCCAGATTGGCAGTCACATGGTCCCGATTGGTGGTCCCTCAGTCTGGATTGGTGATCCAAAGGTCCCATTGGACCAACAGTCCTGATTGGTGGTCCAGATTGGCAGTCACATGGTCCCGATTGGTGGTCCCTCAGTCTGGATTGGTGATCCAAAGGTCCCATTGGGCCAACAGTCCCGATTGGTGGTCCAGATTGGCGGTCACATGGTCCCGATTGGTGGTCCCTCAGTCTGGATTGGTGATCCAAAGGTCCCATTGGGCCAACAGTCCTGATTGGTGGTCCAGATTGGCAGTTATATGGTGGCAATTTGTTGCAAAACCTGAATCCTCACCTCTCATTAGTCAATAATCTCGCTATTGATATTCCTTCGCGTGCTTCTACATATTTAAAGAACACACCGGCGGATGTCACACTTAGCTTTCATATCCTCTCAATGGTAGATAGATGCAAGTCAAAATGAATTTTTTCATCTTGTTTTTACAGCTCACTGTAAATATAAGTAAATTAGAGCGATGACATTCCAGTGTTGTGAGATATAGAGGGACTAGCGAGTATGTTAGTGAGACCGTAGACCCTGTGTTATTTCTGTCTTCTACATGATCAAATCATTCCACTTTGGCCATTGACATGATGTGGCGGGTGGGGGGCGTCATTACGGCAAATAATCTTTTGTAATGTTCACCAAATTTGGTATCGAGGAACGACAGCAGATCTCTCTACTCCCAAAATGCATTTGTCATCTGGCCATATTGGCGATTGTGAACGAGTTGGAGACAGAAAGGCATCAGGAAGGGTAGAAGTGTTAGTGCTGGAGAATAGCCCAGTAAATTACTTACCTTACTTTTCAATTCTAAAATATACCAGTGCTTTTCTTGAGTTTAAAGGAGTTGTAATTATCTGAGGTTTGTTTGATTAGTAAAGGGCTGAACAGTTTCAAGATTTCTCATTTTTTATTTCTGATCTTCTGTTTTGAAAGGTGTTTCTTTTCTTGCCATAATTCTGAGTTAGATTTGGTCCTTTGGCGGTCGCACAAGACGACCACCGTATTTTCTTGAGTATAGTGTGCATCCGAGTATAATGCGCACCCCCATCTAGCTGATTCAGTTTTTTGGAAAAAAACCAATTTGAATATTTGCTATTGGGCGTTCAGGGTCGGTGACTTGGTTGTTTGCGTGTCAGCGTATCCTGACTGGGCAGTCATCGCTCATAGAGCTGGGGTATTGCTGAGTGCAGCATTAAACAAGATTCACACAGATCATCTGCTGGCTGCTTGTGTGTAACTGCATTGCATTGCATATTCTGTATACCAGTGGTACGGAACCCAAGGCCTACAGCAAGCTGAATCTAATTTTCCTTTGCCAGTTTATTTCCAAAATAACCTGAATGAGAAATTAATTTTCCTTTGCCATCCATTTCCAAAATAACAAATGGGAAATTAATGCACCTTTGCCAGTTTATTTCCAAAATAACCTGAAGGAGAAATTAATTTTCCCTTGCCAGTTTATTTCTAAAATAACAAATGGGAAATTAATTTTCCTTTGCCAGTTTATTTCCAAAATAACCTAAATGGGAAATTAATGCACCTTTTATTCAGAAAGATGACATTCTTGAAATTGATCAAAACCTTTGCTTTTCAATAAAAATATTGATTGTATATTTGATACAAAGCCTTGAAAAGAATTGTATATAGTGATTATATTGTGTGTTTGGAGCATGAACAGATTGATTGATTCATTGATTCGTTAATTCATCCATCCATCCTATATCAGAATGTGATTCTGATTTGTGTACCAAATATTTAGACGTCTATATTACATTGTATATAATCATTATTGTGATGCAAGTTCTATATATTTTTACCATGCTGTTTCATGTTCTTGTCATGGAAGTATCGTAGTAATATTTGTATTACATCTTATGCAATACGAAGATATATTTTTTTGTGATTTGTATTTCCACGTTGTAATTTGATCATATTGACGTCTGAGCACAGTCACATTTCTTTATCCGATTTTTTGTTGTTGTCATTTGCTGTAAGGGTTGGACATTTAACAGTAATATTTCTTTCAAACGCTGGTGTCCCCCGCCGTGATATTGCTGGAATATTGCTAAAAGCGGCGTAAAACCATACTCACTCTTTCAAACGCATTAGGCAGTGAATACCCAGATTTTGAAAGCCTTTCAATTATGAGGCAATTCTTGACTATATCTGAGAGTTAAAATATCTAAATGGAAGAAAATGAGTTTGTTAATATACAGAACTATTTTTTTGTTTTTCATGTATTTTAGTTGTAAAAAGAATACCAAGTGAATTTCGAGTTATTTATGAATTTCTTTGAAATTAACATTATTTTTGCTGACATGCTAGTGTTACAAATATGTTTGTTTTTGACATACTTGTTCTGATAGTAGGAAGTTAATGTCTAGTTGATGTAGAGACTGTGCTTAATGTTTGCTTTTGTTTATCATTTGCCAATAGTTCCCTCGGACCTCAAACTAATCTGATGCTCTGGTAACTCTCTGACCAAGAAAGTTTCTTTGTATTTCACATCGGCATGGTAATGGAGTGGTCAGAAAGACCTGTTGGTAAACAAGCTTTGGCCATAAGAAAGTTTTATTTGCGATAACATTGTGACCTTAAAGTGTTTTATTTTCTGAATTTTTGTTTTTGTTGTAACATCTGTAACTAATTATATGCAAAAACCAGATTTACCTGTTATGATTTACTTTCAACATAAGTATTAACTCTGTGAAGATCTGACAACCGGTTCCAATCAGTCAGTGTTGAGGATTCTGTTCTAAATTGAGAGAAGCATTCCGACAAGCATATCTGTATCTTGAAAATGAATATATAACTAATTACACACACACACACACACACACACACACACACACACACACACACACACACACACACACACACAGAAGATAACTCACATCATCAGTTAACTGAAATACTGTTCGAAGCTGCGTCAATCTTGTGGCAAAGACATCTTAGTCAGCAAATTCACGATGCAGAGTTAGGTCCCTTAGTCGTATATGGATCCGATGCTTGTCGATTTAAGTCCCAGATTTGCCCAAATTATGTGTCTAAAATGTGCATCGCTTCCGGCTTTACCCTGACACTGACACGCTGTGATTGGAATACTGTTCAAAACGCAATGTTACCACTGGTTGTCTATCATCAATCTTCTGCCAGACAGCGGGACACCGGGTGTTTGAAGGGGGTGTTCATTTTACTTCCATTGTTTGTGATAGTTACCAGATTCGCTCAGATGTTGGTTGTTAAAATAATTGTTGTACATTGTAAAGAATTTGTGGAAATTAACATGATTTTCATATTAATTATACATATTTTAGGCTATTATCAATCAAAATAATAAAAACTATAATATTTTGTTGATGTTCATATTCATGTTTGCGGTCGACCGCCTCCGTGGTCCAGTGGTATAAAGCTTACGCCCGGAGAGTGGAAGGTCCGGAGTTCGGTCCCGGGCGCGTCATACCAAAAGATGTTAAAAGATGGTACTTGTTGTTACCCTGTCGGCTCGGAGTCAGTATACTGTGTCTGAGTGGGGTATCCATGTTAAACTGCGGCATGGTATCTCAGTGAGCTAGCATTATAAATCGGCATCAGTCCGGACTAGTACAAGCAGCCACACACACACACGTACATGCACGTCGCTATATAAGGGCAATAATCTTGGACGCGACGTTAAACCCCATTTCACCTCACCATGTTTCCGGTCTGAGAGAAGAGAAAATGGTTTGAGGGGACATTTCCTCACACTCTATTCCAGCAGCCTCTATTGGCAACATGGAGGATCTCATTCAGTGGTTTTACACACGGGGCCCAAGTGCCTCCCACATTGACGCATTGTGATATGACTCAAATACTGTTGGTTGCCATGTTGCTTTGTCCACATGACCTGGTATTGCTGAAATCACAACAAACACGGACACCTAAAAAAATGATAGATCTTTATTCTCACAGGAGTGATTGCTCTTAAAATATAGGGTATGTCCGATATGTACATCATAACAGTGACAACTGAAGCAAGGCAAACGTCTACACAAGAAGCAAACATTATGAGCAGCTTAACTTTAACATTAACTCGGATTCTACCTGACCCAAGGAAAAATGTGTCGTCATTTTACAAGTTACCATGTTACACCGCACTCAGCAATATTCCAGCTATATGACGGCGGTCTGGCCCAGTGATTTGTGATTGGGATATGATCACTTGCATCAACCACATCAGACCTTGGTACCAGAGACACATATTTGGAAGAAAGTTTGTCAAGAATATTTCAGTACATTCACCAAACTACTTGACAACAAATACTGTTCAACAGTTAATATCCTATTACAGGCAAATTATAGTGCAAACGCTCAGCACTGTGACAATTGTCTTTCCCCAGCCATTTTCATCTTATGAAACCACCGAGAAGAAAGTTGCCAGTCATTTCTTAAAATGACAAATTTATACTTATGTGGTTGTGAGATGATGCGGGGTCTGAATGGATGCATCCCGAAACTCATCTTCCAGGATCATCACCATCACCCCTGATTTGGTTTTAGTAATTTGTTAATCCAAAAACAAATTCTTGGAAAAGTCAAAGCAAATCTTGAGGTTACGCCTGTTACCACTCAATTCTCTAACAGACTTATTGGTGGTTGTAGAAAGAAAACCAAACTTTAAAATACTGAGCTGCGTTCCACAAAGTTATCTTAACACTACGACAATCGTACACCTATGGTAAAGGATTAGAGTTACGATCATCTTGGCGCTAGGATCACTTGGCGTGACAAAGCCCTTCAGTGGTAGCGTGAAGATCGATAATCTGGGCCATGTTCCACAAATCAGTGTTTGATTTTCTCCAGTTCTACCACCAATAAAAAATATATATATATATACATATAAACACACATTGCACAAAAAGCAAACCGCAGAACAAAAGCTGCCATCCTTGGGCACAGGAGTTCCAGCACAGGAGTCCGAGCACAGGAGTTCCAGCACAGGAGTCCGAGCACAGGAGTTCCAGCACAGGAGTTCCAGCACAGGAGCTCCAGCACAGGAGTCCGAGCACAGGAGTTCCAGCACAGGAGTTCCAGCACAGGAGTCCGAGCACAGGAGTTCCAGCACAGGAGTTCCAGCACAGGAG